AAGGGGATCTTAACCCTTGACTTGGTGTTGTCAGCACCACGCTCACCCAGTGAGCTAACCGGCCATCCCTATATGGGATCTGAACCCGTGGCCTTGGTGTTATCAGGACCACACTCTCCCAAGTGAGCCTAGGGCTGGCCCTGAATTAGGGCTTTTATAAGAAGAGGAAGAGACACCAGAGCTTCCCTTCTCTCTCTGCCACGTGAGGACACACCACAAAGGCTGCTGTCTGCAAGCCAGGAAGAGAGCCCTCCTCAAAACCCGAATCTGCCAACACCCTGATATTGTACTTCCCAGCCTTCAGAACCATGAGAAATAAATGTCTCTTGCTCAAGTCCCCCCAGTCTATGGTATTTTGTTATATCAGTCCAACCGGACTAGAGACAAGTCCCTAAGTAATATGAACAACTGTCAAATGGATATCTGGCCCCCCACCACCTGGCCTCCATGTTTTTGGTAAGAGAACAGAAAGCGGGACCAACACTGGCATCACGAAGGTCAGGACAGATGACAGGGAGGGAATTCACTTGCTCTTTGATCATTCTGGGAAAGTGACTCTGTGGCTTCCAGAGGCATACCTGTGGCAACAAGGCTGATGAGGGCCGGGGACACAAGGCGGACCTAACAGCAGGGTTACTTTATTTTTTATTTATTTATTTATTTTTGTCTTTTTCCGTGTCCGGCAACGGATCGCAACCCTCAGTGTTGCCCCCGTACCGGACCGGGGACCAGCAACGGGATTGCAACCCTTGGTGTTGCTCCCACGCCTTGCTCAGCCAGTGAGCGGGAACCGGTCTGTATGTGGGATCCGAACCCTCGGGCGGGAGCGCCGCCGCGCTTCCCAAGCGGCGCACTATCCAGTGCGCCACCGGGCCGGCCCCGGCATCCAGATTTATAGAAAGAAGTACAACTATTTCTATTTGCAGAAGCCCCCCAAAATTAGGGCTAATAAACAAGTTCAGCAAGGTGGCATGATCAATATACAAAAGTCAGTTTTTGTTCTATAAATAGCAATGAACAATCCAAAAATAAAATTAAGAACACAGTTCCATTGACAATAGCACTAAAAATGATACAATACTTAGGAATAAATTTGACAAAAAATGTATATGACATGTGCACTGAAGACAGTAAGAAATCACTGGAAGAAATTAAAGACCTAAATAATTGGAAAGCTATCCTATATTCATGGATATGAAGACCTAATATTATTAAGACGACAATAAATCAATGCAATCCCTATAACAGTTCAAGCTGCCTTTTTTGCAGAAATAAGATGATCTTAAAATTCATATGAAAATGCAAGTGACACAAACTAGAAAATACTGCCTTGAAAAAGGAAAACAAAGTTGCAGGACTCAAATTTTCTGATTTCAAAACTTATGACAAAGCTACAGTAATCAAGATAGTGTGTTGTTTGCATAAGAACAGGCACACAGAACAGTGGAATGGAACTGAGTCCAGAAATAAACCCATACATAAAATATCAAAATTTTTGACAAGAGTTGCAGGACTCAAATTTTCTGATTTCAAAACTTATGACAAAGCTACAGTAATCAAGATAGTATGTTGTTTGCATAAGAACAGGCACACAGAACAGTGGAATGGAACTGAGTCCAGAAATAAACCCATACATAAAATATCAAAATTTTTGACAAGAGTGCCAAGACTATCCAATGGGGTGTCAAGAGATTCAATGTGGAAATAATAAATAAAATAAAATAATTAAAATAAATTTAACTTAATATTTAATAAGTTAAATAAAATAAATTAAATAAATAAATTAAAAAATAATAAAAGTGGTCTTTTTGATGAATGGTGCTGGGACAACTGGATATCCACATGCAAAAGAATGAGTATGAACACCTACCTTGTACCACATATAAACATTTACTCAAACAACAAAAAAAGAAAAAAATAAACATTTACTCCAAATGGAAAGAGACCTAAATGTAAGAGCTAAAACTATACAACTATTAGAAGAAAAACAGTGTAACCCTTCAGGACCTTGGATTAGGCAATGGTTTCTTAGGTATGATACGTAAAGCATAGGCAACCAAAGAAAAAGTAGAAAAAAATACACAAATTGGATTTCATCAAAATTAAAAACTTTTGTGCTTCAAGAATACCATAAAGAAAGTTAAACAACAACTCACAGAATGGGTGAAAACATTTGCACATCATACATCTGATAAGTGTGTAGTATCTAGAATTTATAAAAAATTCTTACAAATTAAGACTAAAAACACAAACAATCCAATTAAAAAATAAACCAAGGATTTGAACAGACATTTCTCCAAAGATATACAGACAGCCAACAAGCACATGAAGAGATGATCAACATTATTAGCCATTAATGAATCACAAATGAAAATCACAAGGAGATTCCACTTCACACCTACCAGGATGGCTATTATCAAAGAGATGAACAATAAATAATAAGCACTATGGAGAATGTGGAGAAATTGGACCCTCACATATTGCTGGTGCAAATATAAAATGGTACAGTCACTTTGGAAAAAGTTTGGTGGTTCCATCAAAAGTTAAATATACAGTTACCATATGACTCAGTCATTCCACTCATAGGTATATACCCAAGAGAACTGTAAACATATGTTCACACAAAACCTTGTATGAGTACACAGATATTCATAGCAGCATTATTCATTATAGCTCTAAAGAGGAAACAACCCCAATGTCCATCGATGGATGAATGGATAAACAAAATGTAGTATTCATACAATGAAATTTTATTCAGCCATAAAAAGGAATAAGGTGCTGATACATGCTACAACATGGATGAACCTTGAAAACATTATGACAAGTGGATGAAGCCAGTCACAAAAGGTCACATATTTTCTGATTCTGTTTATATGAAAAGTCCACAATAGGTAAATCCATAGAGATAAAAAGTAAATTAGTAGTTGCCAGGGTTCAGAGGAGTGACTGCTAATTGGTATAATGTCTCTTTTTGGGGTGATGAAAATGTTCTAAATTTAGATAGTGGTGTTGGTTGTACAACTCTGTGAAAATATAAAAAAAACCCACTGATTTTTTTACTTTAAAAGAATGAATTTATTTTATGTAAATATATCTCTATAAAGCTTTTTATTTAAAAAAGAAACAAAGCAGATAGCACACAAGTACACCTTTCTAACTTAAAACTTACATTTTCTGTGAGGGTCATGTTTTCTTTGTTGATATTTAACACTGTTGTCATTAAAGCCAGATTTATGATGTTGATTTACTTGACTTATTTCTTGAGGTAGAACTGCATCCTGAAAGTTAAAATTCTTATAAATTAGTTAAATAAAATCTTAATACTATAACTACTTATTTTCCTCAAGTTTTAATAAATAATTACTTCTTAAAAAATAATTATTTTTATAAAGTTTATTGAAAAAACTTAAGTAATACAGAAAAGTATAGAGAATTTTCAAAGCTACCCAAATTCCAACACCAGAAATAACAATCATTAACATAGTGATCTTCACTCCTGATATTTCTATAATATGCATTAGATAGACAGCAAGGTACACAGAAAATAATCAATTTATAAAAATGCTATTTTCAATAGAAAGAGTTAAATCTAAATTTGCTTGAAGTTAATAAATGCAGAAACTAAAGAATATATTAAACTTTAGGTAAATGTTTCTTCACAACAGAAATACTGGTCTCTAAAGATCCCACCAGATTTGTTTCAAAATAATCCCATCTCTGGGGTAGGTGGGGGTGGGAAGTGAATACGGGTTATAGAAAAAACAGGACTGGACATGAGCAAGCTAGGGGATGAGTACCTGGGGGTTTGTTTATACTATTGACTTCATTATATTTAAAATTTTCCATTAAAAAGTTTAAAAAATTTTATCTCTTTTGTCTCTGTCATGAAAGTTGAAGATATTAGCCCACTTATATTCCCTTCCATGTTCTTTCCCCAATATCTGATTTTTATTAATTAATATTTAAATCATCAAGGTTTTTAAATGGTGGAAGTCTTCACTGCCAGATAGCAAGACTGATTATAAAGCTATGGTAACTGAGATAGTTCATACACAGACAGAATTAGCAAAATGGCAATGGGTAGGTTTCATACAATATAAAGATTACATCAGATCCTTTTGTTTTTTGATAGGGAGAGAAAGCCTGAAGGCAAAAAGAGATAATCTGCCACAGTTGAAGCAGCAAGAGGAAGCAAAAGTCGAGGGAGGCTGGAGATGTTCAATACAAATTATTTATTTCACAATTTTGTTTTTTGCAAACCCTATTTATTTTCTTCTGAGCACAGACAAATGAACACTGGATACAAAAGCACATCATGTCCCAGCTGTCAGTGGGCATGCTCCAAAATAGCAATGATATGTACTGGACTGTGAAGGAAGCTCCAATGAGCTCATTTGCACAGAAACATCCAAGACTTTTCAGTCTTTAAGAGTCAAAATGGCATGAGATTTCTATCATCATGGCACAATGGCTGGTGGGGTTTGGGGCTATAGCAGTACATTATTGGAGGTTTTGTCTCTAAGGAAGGGAATGAGAACATTGGGATCAATAGGTATGAAGAAGTATTGCGTGAGCATCTATTACATGCCAGGAATGGTAAGATGCACTTTGCATTCATTATCTTCATTATTATAGCAATGCTAGCACCATAATAATGCTATGGTATACTTTGATTCCATTTTATAGATGAGTAAACTGAGGCTTAAAGTGATAAAGTAATCTTGTCATAGAACTAAGTAACAGGAGAGCTGACATTTGAGCTCTAACTCCAAAACCCATGTTCACAGTACCACTTTAGAGAAAAGGTTGGCCATAAGTTTAATTAGAAAGCAAATATTTTAGTTTTGAGTATAGTTTTTAAGGTTGTTTTATTTGATAACTATTTAAAGCTATTTGTGTTAGTAACTTTGCCCTCTTTTGCCAATAAAAGCTTGAATATTTTTTTTTTATCATGGTGAGTTCTTTTGAATTTGCTCATCAGATGAATACCAGTCTAGGCTACTTATTAATGCTTCATGGATATAAGTGTTATATTTGGTGGCTCATAATTCTTGGAACATATAGGAGATAAAACATGGGAGTATTCAGGTGAAATAAATAATGAAATAGCAATCAAAACCAAGAGTTGCATGCAGAAGATTATGAGGAAATATAACACCAAGTGGTTCTCAAGGAAACAGTCAACTTTGTCAGCGACCTAGGGGGATTTTGGTAATGAGAAAACAAAGGGCATTCTAAGTGGAAGGAACAAAATGAACGTATAACCTGAAATGGGAATCATCCGTTTGTGGGAAAGGGAAAGTAATCAGACCAATCTGACCGGAACAGACTATTTTACCAAATAGTTGGACTTTGTGTGAATTAGGTAAGGTTAGATTATAGAAGGCCTTAGATATTATCTTGAGGAGTTGAAGTTGGATTCCAACATTACTAAACAGGGAGCCCTATACATTCTAGAGTATTACAGCAACACTACTTTACGGCTGGAAAAAACCTCAAAGGTCATCTAAGTCCAATGCCTTCATTTTATACATGAGGCCACAGAAGCCCAGGGAAATAGATTTGTTCAACTGGAGTCACAAAACCTGATTTCCTGATTCTGAGTCCAATACCATACTTATGATGCCACACTTCTTCAGGGGGTAAATTGAGTTCAAACTCAGTAGATACTTTGCTCAATTATGCCTCAGGGCTAACACAGGTAAAAGGGTCTTTAAGAAAGATTAATCAGGCAGTAGTACATAAAAAAAATTGTAAGTGAAAGAGATAAGAAACCGGAAGCATAGAAAGGAGGTTAATCTAAGCCAGGATGACAATCTAAAGTCCACTTGTAGGATTCCAGAGAAGGAGTAGAAAGATTTAAGATGTCATTGCAAAAAAATATTAGAGAGAAAGCAAAAAATTTTGACTCCAAGCTTTTTAGGGAAAAAAAAAGCTTTATAGATTATATGTCTGGGGAAATGGTGGTGTTAGAAATAAGGATAAAAGAAAAAGCTTTATGTGAGATCAATTCTGGGACATTTTGAGGTTGAGATGAGGTGGAGTATCTAGCTATACCTATCTTCTAGAAAGTTGGAGATATTAGATTATATCTTGATTGAGAGATTGGAGATATAGATTAGTGGTACTTAGCAGAGAGGTAAGAGTCAAAGTCATCAGTCAAGCAATAAGGCAAAAGGGAAAAGAAATCTGTTGTTGAGTTTAGGGGAACAGTTCTCAGTGAAAGGTAGGAAGAACAGGAGTTTAAAAAGTTGAACAAATAGGGCCGGCCCAGTGGCGCACTGCGATAGTGTGCCGCTTGGGAAGCGCGGCAGCGCTCCCGCCGAGGGTTCGGATCCCACATACAG